TGTCTTATTCTGGGTCCTGTTCTCTATGGACCAGTCTCAGAAAAAAGAATGAAACTTCCTTGGACCTCATGGATGGCACAGCCTAGGTGGAGGTGGGAAGATGGATAAGCAAAGTGCAACATAACAAATTAAGAGTTTGACATGATTTATTTCCTTTGAAGTCTAGATTAATATTTTATAATAATGGTATTAATTTCCATATATCTATGATTACCAATTAATTTTTCTGTTTTTGTTCCTTCCTTTCATTTTTTGGTCTTCCTTTTTCATTTTTTTTGAGAGGGAGTTTCGCTCTTGTTGCCCAGGCTGGAGTGCGATGGCGCAATCTCAGCTCACTGCAACCCCTGCCTCCCAGGTTCAAGCGATTCTCCTACCTCAGTCTCCCCAGTAGCTGGGATGACAGGCATGTGTCACCACGCCCAGCTAATTTTTTGTATTTTTAGTAGAGAAGGGGTTTCTCCATGTTGGTTAGGCTGGTCTCAAACTCCCTACCTCAGGTGAACCCCTGCCTCAGCCTCTAGAAGTTCTGGGATTACAGGGGTGAGCGACCGTGCCAGGCTTTATTTCTTTTTAAATATATCTTAGTGACATTCTAAATATTTGTAGAGGAAGTATTTTGCTGAAAAACCAACAGTTTATTTCTATAAAAAGTCTTTGTTTTTGGCCGGGTGTAGTGGTTCATGCCTATAAACCAAGCATTTTGAAGGCCAAGGCGGGAAGATCACCTGAGGTTGGGAGTTCAAGACCAGCCTGACCAACATGGTGAAACCCCTTCTTAAAAAAAAAAAAGTCTTTGCTTTATTCATTTCTTGTTTTGGTTTGTTTTTGTGTTTTGAGATGGAGTCTTGCTCTGTAGTCCAGGCTGGAATGCAGTGGAGCCATCTCTGCTCACTGCAAACTCAGCCTCCTGGGTTCAAGCGATTCTCCTGCCTCAGCCTCCCAAGGAGCTGAGATTACATGAGCTCGACACCACGCCTGGCTAATTTTGTATTTTTAGTAGAGATGGAGTTTCACCATCTTGGCCGCTCTGGTCTCAAACCCCTGACCTCAAGTGATCCGCCCACCTTGGCCTCCCAAAGTGCTGGGGTTACAGACGTGAGCCACCATGCCTGGCCTTTTGTTTTATTGTTGAAAGGTGGGTTTCACAGCCACACATTCCCAGTTTGACGTTGGTGTTTTCCTCAGCTGGTGAATGCTGATGTCTCTTCTGGCTACTGTGGCTGACAGGGAGAGATGTCAGCTACGTTCCAATCCAGATGCATTTTAAATGACCTTTGTTTCTTCTATGGCTGCTTTCAAGATCACTGTCTTTACCGTCTGAAGTTCCAGTGCAGTCTGAGCCGATGTGGATCTCCTTTCATTCACTGGGCTGCGTAGACCTTTACTTAAAAGTTTGCCATCACCTCATTATGGAATACCTCCTTTCAGTCACTGTCCTTTCATCTTCTAGGAGTTTAATTAGACTAACGTTAAACCTCATTCAGCCACCGAATAATTGTAGAAGGCAGAATAATGGCCCCACAAATGTATTCAAACCCTAAGCTCCAGAACCTTCGGTTACATAATCTTACATAACAAAAGGAACTGCAGATATGGTTAAGGGTGTGGATACTGAGAGGGGAGATTATCCTGGATTATTTAGGTGAGCTCAGTCTGATCTGGAATTCTTTTTTTCTTTTGTCGTTTAGACTTTTATTTTAGGTTCAAGGGATACACTTTCAGGTTTGTTACACGGGTAAATTGCGTATCATGGGTGTTTGGTGTGCAGATAATTTTGTTACTCAGGTAATCAGCACAATACCCGATGGGTAGTTTTTTAAACCTCCCCTCCTCCCACCCTCCCCCCTAAAGTAGGTCCCAGTGTCTGCTGTTCCCTTCTTTGTGTCCATGTGTACCCAATGTCAAGCTTCCACTTCTAGGTGAGAATATGTGGGATTTGGTTTTCTGTTCCTGCATTAATTTGCTTAGAATAATGGTCTCCAGCTCCACCCACGTTGCTGTGAAGGACATGATTTCGTTCTTGTTGTTGTGGCGGAGTAGCACACCACGGTGTACACGTACCACGTTTTCTTGATCTAGTCCACTGTTGATGGGCATCTGGGTTGATTCCTTGTCTTTGCTAATTGAACGGTGCTGCACTGATCACGAATTCTTAAAGGTGGAGATAACTGAAGAAATGTAGGGAAGATGTAGTATGGAATTTCGTCTGCAGTGATTTCTGATCGAGTGAAATATGATTGTCTCTGTTTAAATGATTGGATTACGTGGTAACATGCATTAATAGATTTAAATATTCTTGCAATCTTGGGATTTAAATAAACTTGGTCAAGAAATTTAGTTTGTTTAGAGCACACTGATGGAAACAGTCTGCTATTTTTCTCATCTATTTTAATCTAATTATTCATAGTGATTTTTCTGTCATGTGTCTTTGTTATTTGTTCCCTAACTGGCTTTAGAGTGAACACTATTCATATCTATAAAGTGAGTGTTCTAGCTTTCTATGTATTTCCCCTTTCTCTTGAATATTTTAAACAAGTCCAATAACCTTCCTTGAAGGGTTGGTAGAACTTCCCTGTGAAACAATCTCGATGTGGCTGAACAGAAATAGGATTTTACAACTGTTTTGACTTCTTTGTTTGCAGTAAGTATTTTCTTTCGACATAATTTTTTTTTATTATTTCAAGATTGTTTACATCTCCACTATAGCTGCAGTGGCATATTTATCTGTCATAACACTATTTTGTCATAACATATGTTTATCATGTGTATTTATTAGTGTGTTTTGTCATAACATACTTATCTGTCATAACACTGTCTTGCTCCTAATTAACATTGCCTGTTTTTTTCTCTGTTCAAAGAAACAGCTGACTTTGGTAGGCTAGATTCTCAGCAGCGGCAGCTGCCAGCTCGGCCTTGGTGTGTGGTGACTCAATTGCTGTGCCCATGCAGTGTCCATCCCAGCCACCTCGGCCACTTTGTGCAGGGACTGTATGAGCAAGCCCTGTGTGGCTGGGTGGCATCATCCATCAAGCCATCTCGCCCACCTGGTTACAGTGAGCCCCAGCCCCTCGGAGACCCTCTGGTGGGTATTCACATGCAGCCTCTATCTTCACACGCTCTTCCCATGGAAAGAGGTCAGTGCACACTTCACTCTTCCACCCCTCAATTCTCCAACTTTCATTTCCCCAAGTTCCAGACTGGCCAGGCAACCCATGAGCCACTGCCCATGATTCATTCATTCAGGCACTGCTGGGGCATCATTTCACATCCTTCACCTCCTGTGATTCTGTTTGGGTTTGATTCGTAGTTTCTGGCTCGACAGCCATTTCCAAAGCTGTTCTGGTGTCAGCTCCCAAGCTGACTGCTCTTGTTGTATATTCTTCTCTTCATATCTGAGTCCTGGGCATTTATTTCCTGGAATTTAAAAAAATGTCCCTGGTATTTTCAATGCAGCATTTTAAGGACTTGTAGTATGAGAAATTCCATATTAGCTTAGAGATAATTGTTTTAAAATGCCAGAAATGTGTACTTGAATGGACAACATGCATGAAGGAAGGGGGAGAAATCATAGGTGGACAGTGGGTTTTGACCAAGTGAAAACTCAGGTAAACAACATCTTCATCTAGCAACAGGATTTCCCGCCTCCAAGAAACACCCCTGAGTCCTACTCACTCATAAACCACCCTCCTCACCCTAGAGTAGTCACTCTCTTGATTTGTAACACTGTAGGTTAGTTCTGCGGTACTGACTGAATGGAATCTTATGTCGTTTTCACGTCATCGGCCTCGTCATCTTTGTTGGGCTCATCATCTGCTGTGTGTGGTCACAGCCTGTTCACTCCCACGGCCGTCAAGTGCTCCAGTTTATATATGGCTCATACTCTTGTCCCTCCTCTGTTGATGGACCTTTGTGCTGTATCTAGGTTTTACAACCTGTGCTGCTATGAATAATTTTTCATATATTTTGGCAAACACACATACATTTCTACTGCTTTTAACTAAGAGTGCTATTGCTGGGTCATAGGTGAGTGGATGCTTGGCTGCTTCTCTCAAAAAACAATTTTCTAGCTGAGCGTGGTGGCTCACGCCTGTAATCCCACCACTTTGGGAAGCCAAGGTGGGCGGATCACCTGAGGTCAGCAGTTTGAGACCAGCCTGACCAACAAAGAGAAACCCCGTGTCTCCTGAAAATACAAAATTAGCCAGGTGTGGTGGCACATGCCTGTAATCCCAGCTACTCATGAGGCTGAGTCAGGAGAATCGCTTGGGAGGCGGAGGTTGTGGTGAGCCAAGCTTGCATCACTGCACTCCAGCCTGGGCAACAAGAGTGAAACTTTGTCTCAATAAAAAAAAAAAAAGGTTTCTATTGAGCGAACAAATAGTAGGAGAGGGTAAATCTCTTCTTTTATATTATTCAGCTAGTAAATTAGGAAGGAATCAGAGACGGAGAGTATAATTCTTTTGCAACACATAATGAATTAACAGACTTAGCCATTGAACAGCAATGGCAATTAAGAGTATAGTAAAAATAGACAACCATCAGTAAGTTCTTCTTCCTCATGGAAGAACAGCGCAGTGCCATAAATAAAGTAGTCAAGAAAATCATCTAGCTTGCCTATAAGCAAATGTCTGCAGCCAACTACCAATTTATAAAAGTACAGATAAAATGGCCCATATTAACCCACGCCTTGGGGTGAGCCAGCAAAATGCAAACTGGAAAACTCAGGCAGACAGTATACATTTCAAGGAGGAACATACAGAAAAAAAAGAACAAAAATTATATACTCCAAAGTAAAAGTAAACTGCAATTTTAGATGATGAAAATATAAAATAGAACAAAGAAGTGATGATCATAAGTCAGGCTGTGATTTTATGTGGGGGAGGGAAGAGTTCATCACTGAGCTGGGGCAGACGATGGGGTTTCTGGGCTGGCTGACAAGCTTCTATCTCTCTGGTGTTTAAAGCGTGTTTACCTTTTGAAGAGCAACATTTTCAGACAGGTTTTCTTTTTTGGTACTTGTTTTATTTTATTTATTTCTTCTTAAAAGAAGAAGCATAAAATAATTTATGGGTCACAGTTATGTTTTGCACAAAGCCTACTCCTCACACCCATCTCCAGACACTGAGCTCCAAAACAAGTGGCAGCCCCAGGAGCCCCTGGCAGGGCCACCTCACTTCTGGGTGTGGCCATGTCACTGGAGGAAATGTCCCGGGTCTGTTCCGTGATGCCTGGAAGAACCTGATAGGACACACTGAGAGGAAGCTTCCCTGTCACCTGCAGGTTCTTGGCCATCACTGTAGAGGGAGGAGGTCCTCACTCTCCACAGGCTGGATCACAGCCAGAGATTCCTCTCTGCATGGGGAGTGAGGCTGGTCCTTTCCCTGAACACAGTGACAGAGATCTCTCCAGAGGTGAAGATGACACCATTCTTACGTTCTCTGCTTCATAGGTCAGGGAACTGAGGCACCAAGCGGGAAAGTGCTGGTGAGATCCAGGCAGGGAGCTGAATCCCAGCCGCCTGGCTGCAGAGTCTCAGCACCCTCAGTGGAGCCAGTGGGCCCAGGAGCTGACATCAGAGGCTGAAATCCCAGCTGTGTGGCAACCCTGTGGTCTCCTGTCCCAACCACGTGTCAATCCAGGACCTGCAGGCTCACGAGCTCTGGAGAAAAGAGAGAAACCGTGAATGCTCCACTGGGTGCAGAATGTTGTGTTCATTCCCTGAGGACTTTCTCTCTTCAGTTGCTCCAAAATCAGATTCTCCCCTTTCTCTGAGGGAATATGAGGCCCTCACTGTTTTCTTCCTCCACCCAGCTTTTCCCAGCCCCTGCCAGTTCCTCCCATCACTCATCAACATCAGCACCTGCCCTGTGCCACCACCCATCAGGCAGGGAGTGAAAGGGCCCCAAGACTAAAGCATAAGACGCCAAGAGGGAACCCAGTGTCCTCCCCTCTGCTCAGGCCTGACCAGTTCTGTTAGAGTGAGAGGCCTCCCCGAAGAGAGGCCCTGACCCTTGCCCTCAGTCCCCAGGCCCTCCTCTCCTGCAGAGGCACCTGCACACCAGGGCAGGCCCTGCCCACCGTGGGCTCTGCCCGATACCTGTGGCTCGGCGTTCCTCCCCTCCCAGCCCAGAGCTGGCAGCTCTTAACTGGGGACCCCATCAAGAAGCCTGAGGGTGCCCAGCAGGCTCAGCATGGAAAGACGTGGCTGTCACAGGATCATACGTGACCCTGGGACCCCCAGTTTGCTTCAGGAGGCACTTAAGCACCCACCCAGCCTGTGACCTGCTCTAGAGTCCCCACTGCTCCCGCCTGGTCCACTTATTCCTGGAAACGCAGCTCACCCCACGGCTGCTGCCTTGGCAAGGCTTCGAGGCCTTCCTGCCCTGTCTTTAGCAGGGATTCCACCTAGGACACTGCCCTTGCAACCTATAAGGGATTTTCTCCATGTGGAGTAGGGGGGACCCCTTAGCCTGAGGCCTCTGTGCACCTGCTGCACCTGGGAACTGCCACAGTCATAGCCACCATCTCCCCACACAGACCCTCCTGGAGTGGGAGCTCCAAATTTGAGTTCCTGTTTCATTGAGTATGCTTTACAACATCAGTATTAGAGGAAATTCTGTCAAGATCATAGGAGCTGAGATTACGAACGTCTTTATGGGACATCAACGTTGAAAGCAGGAATTTTGAGAAATTGGCACATGACTTTCATACCCTTTTCCTGGCCAAACTCCCATGACCTCTGAGGAAGCCAGTCACGCTCACAGAAAACCAGACTGACAATCCCTCTACGGGAGACTCCGCAGGTGAGAGCAGGAGCCACCATACACCTGCTCTGCCCTGCTGCGGGTGCCTCCTGGACGGGCCCTGATGCTGCAGGCAGGGGATGAACCTTCCCATCTGCCCAGGCCTGAGGGGCAAACAGAGCAATGAGAAACCACCACCCCTACGGCCAGGCACGCAGAAGTGGGGAAATGACAGAAAGACCCAGGTCTCCTGGACGCTCCATCCTCTCACTGTCCCTGCACTGCCTCTGTTTTGCAGAAACACAAAACTTCCTACTTTCTCTTTTCATCTCCCATCAAACAACCGGACTGTGGGGAAATGATCCTGACTGTCCCTTACTCCAAACTACCAGGCAGTGACCACCTTTAGAAAGGGATATAGCCTCAGGGATGGCAAGGTCAGGCCACAGAGCACAGAACAAGCCCAGAAACATGGTCCCTGGGGACTGGTGCCCTTAGGGACTGGAGAAGAAAACCTTGGAGGTAGAATGAGAACAGAGACTGCAGCTGCCCTGATGAGGTGCTGGGCCCTGCCCCTCAAATGGCCCACAGCATCTGCTTATCCATATCATCTGCATGGAAACTCAGGGAGGCCAAGTGGTGGGAAACTGGAAAGAGCAGTGCCTTAAGTGACACAAAGGACATGACACCCCGCGAGGCAGCTCCTGGAGGAGGCCCATGGGGAGCTGCAAAGCAGACAGAGAAGGCCGTGTGCGACCAGGACCCTCCTTGTTACAAGAGGGCCTCCAAGGGGCTCCACAGGCAGGGCCCCCGGTCCAGGCTTCCATATATCTTTTCCTTGGCGTGTCCCTCCACCAAATGGCTGGAGAAACAGGGAGAGGGATGCAGAGAGGAAGGGAACTCGGGGCACCGCCTCCTCTCAGATTCCTATCCAGTTTTCAGCCCTCCCCAGATCACAACTGCCTTTACTATTTGCTCCCTCTGAGGCTGTGATATCCAGGCCCTCAGCACTCCGCATGGTGATTCCCAACTCACCCACCTGGACGCGCCCCTAGTGAGCCCGAGGACAGAGACACTGGAGGGGACAGAGTAGGTGCCACGGCCGTCCACTGCTGGCCCACTCCTTACCGCAGCAAGAAGAGGCCAACAGCTAGACATTTGAGGGCCCTTCCCTGGCCCTTGCTTCAGAAGGATTTAGGGGTGCAATGATTGAGATGTGGCTCCCATTCCCCTCCCAAATACCCCAACTTTCAACCCCTCTTCCAGAAGCCTGTTCACCTACATGCCTATCTGTGCAGGAGCAATGAGGGGATGCTGCTGCGCAGACAGGAGCCTTCCCATCTCCAGCCACTGCCCCCTTTTCCTCACCTGGATGCTGTGCAGAGGATGTTTCTCTTCTTCCTGCAATGAAGACCCAGGCAAGAATAATACCAATAACAGCAGCAGCAGCAGTAGGAGCAGCAGCAGCAAGAACATATAGATTGGCTGGCCATTGACTCTCAAGCACACCAGCACCTTCCCTGCAAAAAGGCACTTGTTATGCACCAGGCAGAGAGCCACAGCTGACCTCTGCAAGGTCACCCCAGGCTCACCAGGGGGCACAGGGTGAGTGCTGTGATTCCCACTGGGTTCCATGTAGCAGGTGAAATTCTGCTCCTCTCCTTGGCAAAATGCTGATGGTTCACCCAGGTCTGGTAGGTTCCATTCCCATCAGGCAGGACACCCTCCGATGTGCTGGGCAGTCCGGGCTCAAAGATACCCCATCCTGACGCCATGTCAGTGTGATATTCTGGGGATAGAAGCCGGAAGCCCAGCACGTCACATTGATGTTGCCATCTGAAGTCCTTGAGGCGGGTGACATTCACCATGGGGGGCACTGGAGAAGAAGTGCAGAGTCGGTGAAGCCCTGCTCCCCATCTAAGAGAGATGCAGGGAACAGGGCTGCTCCTCTCCACTGTTCCCACTCTGGCTGAAGCCCTCACAGACCTCAGACCTTCTGTAATCTGTCCTCACCCTGGGGTCCAGTTCCTCTAGGGCTGGCAGGAGGATGGGCCTCAGGACTGCAGCCTTAAGTTCTAGGATCCCCACAATGATGCTGAGGAGGGGAATGTTATGGGTGAACTCCTGGGTCTGGGGCCAGGAAGGAACTCTCTGGGATGGGCAGGCTCGAGGCAGATGGGGCAGCCCTGTCCCTGAAGGCTTCCTCTCCTGCCTGACACCCACCCCAGGCTCAGGATTCTGTTGGAGGACCTGATTTCCCAGATTACAACACTGAATGATTCGTCCCAGACCCACCGTATTTATCCAGTGGCTCTGACAGGAGAGGAAATCAGGACATGAATGCCAACAGGACACGCCTGCATCCACAGCACTGAGCAGGTTTCCCGGGTCGGAGCTGGGGGGTGAGGCAACTCTAGCAGAACTGTGGGGAGAGGAGAGCTCCTGCCCAGGGTCCATACCTGTTCTCCTGACTCCTGCCCCAGATGCCAGATATCGCCGTAGTTTCCACAGGCAGTCTGCCAGCACAGCGCCAGCTTTCTTTGCATTTTCTTCCAAGCACCTTCGTGATGTTTATAGGCAGGATCTGAACTCTGGAGGACTGCGACACGTTCCACTCCCGAGTGTCCAGGTTTTGAGGAGGAAGAGGTTCCCATCAGAGTAGAAATGCCTGGAAGCCCCTAGTGCTGCCGTCTTCATGGATCTCACAGAGTCTAATTTCCTGGAGGAATGCAAGGCTGCCCCACCCAGCAGTGACTTCTCCATTCCTGAACCCCTCACCTTCCCACCCAAGTGAGGAACTCAGCCAGCGGGAAACCCCTCCCTGGCTCTCCTCCGTACCTCCCTGTGCTGGTGGTGCTGGCCACCTGTCTGCTGAGCTCCACTGATCCCCTCTTTCCCACCTCCAGCCCCAGGCAGATCCAGTGGCAAGAGACAGGTCCCTGCTCTCTGCCCCTAAATTTCTGGAAAAGGCCTCTCCCTGCCCACTCTCACCTCCTTTCTGCCCCTTTTATGAGCCGGGTCATCTTGAGGTCCTTCTCATTCTCTCTCAAGTCCTCGATCTCAGTGTTTGAGGATCTCAGCTCTCAGGACTGCTTCTGCCCACTGTCCCTGGGGCCCTGCCGGGCATTCTGCCTGTCACACGTGCAGGAAGAGCTGGACCATCCAGATGTCCCTCAGCGAGAAATCCTGACTGCACAGATCCATTCCAGGACAGCACTGTGAGGTTATAACGAAGACTGTGGGGCTCTGGGGAAGAGAAAATCACAGATGAAACTTCTCCCTGGAAGTAACTTCACATCGATCCTTAACACACAGGTCTGCTGTATCGACCTTCCTGAGGAGGCAGGAAATGCACATGGGCAAGGAACAAGAATGAGGGTTTCATATACAATGAAAACTGGGAAGGTGGGAGGATAGAGGAAGGGACTGAGGAATGGAAGAAGGGGAAATGGAGATGGCAAACTTGTAGGCCTGGTGCCAGGGCTGGGTGGCCACAGGCCCCCTGAGGGTATAGGACCACAGGGAGAGGCTGCCATGCAGGGGCAATGGAGGAACATGAAGGCAGTAGTGGAAGGAAGGTCTTGCAGAGGGGAGGCGGGGGATGGAAGGGACTCAGGCTCAGAGGAACCCATGTCCAGTGTGGCTGGTGGTGCACAGGTGATGGTGAGATGGAGGCAAGGGAGCTGCCTCGAGAAAAGACTTCATCATGGGCATGGTAGGCAAGGGAGGGGTGGTCTGAGGCACAAGGGGCAGGAAGGTTGTCGCCCTCAGAGAAGTTTATAGTGGAGTCAGTATCCCAGAGGGAAGCAATGGTGTGGGCTTGGGTCCAAAGGAGAGTGGCATGATAGCATGATAAGGCCTCAGGACAGGCAAGTGCATGGACCAGCCAGTGTCTACTGGGGTGGGCAGACGACAGGGTCTCAAAGAGTCAGTCCACATTTCAGTGAATAGTGCTGGGGGAACTGGATATTCAAATAAAATCAAATCGGACCCTGAATTTGCACTCTATACAAAAATTAACTCAAAATGAATGAAAGACCTAAACTCTTAACTCAAAAACTAAAACTTAAAATGGCTAGCCATGTGCAGAAAGCAGAAACTGGACACCTTCCTGATACCATTACACTAAAATTAACTCCAGATAAATTAAAGACTTAAACATAAGACCTAACACCATAAAAACCCTAGAAGAAACCTAGGCAAAACCATTTAGGACATAGGTGTAGGCAAGGACTTCATGACCAAAACACCAAAAGCATTGGCAACAAAAGCCAAAATAGACAAATGGGATCCAATCACACTCCACAGCTTCTGCACAGCAAAAGAAACAGTCATTAGAGTGAATCGGCAACCAACAGAATTGGAAAAAATTTTTGCAATCTACCCATCTGTCAAAGGACTGATATCCAAAATCTACAAAGAACTGAAACAGATTTACAAGAAAAAACAAACAAGCCATTCAAAAGTGGGCGAAGTATATGAACAGACATATTACAAAAGAAGACATACATGAGGCCACAAACATATGAAAAAATGCTCATCATCACTGGTCATTAGAAAAATACAAATCAAAACTACATTGAGATACCATCTCATGCCAGTTAGAATGGCGATCATTAAAAATCTGGAGACAACAGATGCTGGAGAGAATGTGGAGAAGTAGGAACACTTTTACACTGTTGATGGGAGTGTAAATTATTTCAACCATTGTGGAAGAGAGTATGGTGATTCCTCAAGGACCTAGAAATAGAAATTCCATTTGATTCAGCAATTCCATTACTGGTATATATCCAAAGGATTATAAATCGTTCTACTATAAGGACACATGCACACGAATGTTCATTGCATTCAATTGTTTACAATAGCAAAGACCTGGAACCAACCCAAATGCACATCGATGATAGACTGGACAGGGAAAATGTGGCACATATACACCATGGAATACTATGCAGCCATCAAAACAATGAGCTTGTGTCCTTTGTAGGGACATGGATGAACCTGGAAACCATCATTCTCAGCAGACTGACACAAGAACAGAAAATCAAACACTGCATGTTCTCACTCATAGGTGGGTGTTGAACAATGAGAACACATGGACACAGGGAGGGGAGCATCACACATTGGGGTCTGTCCGGGGGGAAATAGGAAGGGGACAGCAGGGGGTGGGGAGTTGGGGAGAGATAGCATGGAGAGAAATGCCAGATATAGGTGATGGCGAGGAAGGCAGCAAATCACACTGCCATGGGTGTACCTATGCAACAATCTTGCATGTTCTTCACATGTACCCAAAACCTAAAATGCAATTTAAAAAATTTCTTACAAGAAAAAATCTTCATGACATAGGATTTGACAGTGCTTTCATGGATGTGACACCAAAGCACAGACAGAATAGAAACTGGACTCATGAAAATTAAAACATCTGTGCATCAATGTGAATAAGCAATCAACCCTGAAATGAAATAAATATTGCAAATCATACATCTGATAAGAGATTAGTTTCCAGAATACATAAGGAAGTCTGATGAAAAGAATGAAACAGTCAACCCACTCAAAATGGACAAAGTAGCCAAGCGAAGCTACGTGGGGCAAAAATGGGCAAAAGTCTTGAATGGCCAATTCTTCAGAGAAAATATACGAATGATCAATAAACTCGTGAAAAGATGCTCAATATCAGTGGTCATTAGGAAAATACAAATCAAACCCACAATGACATACCACTTCAAACCAATCAGGATGGCTATTATCTCACACACACACACACACACACACACACACACACACACGAGGTGGAGAAACTGAAGTCCCGGTGTACTGCTTCTGGAAATATAAAATGGCACACCTCCTTCAATGGAAAACACTATGGTAATTCCTCTAAAATTAAAAAAATGAAATACCATATGATCCAACAATCTATTTCTGGGTATATATCCAAAGGAAATAAAAGCAGAAACATGAGGAAATATTTGGCCTCCCATTATCATAGCAACATAATTGCCCACATCCAAAAGGTGGGAAGTAACCCAAGTGTCCATTGTCTGAGGAATGGATAACCAAGAGGTGGTACATACATATAGTGAGTATTATTTATCATTAAGAGGAATGAGATTCTGATGCATATTACAACCTGGATGAACCTCAAAAATAGTAGAAGTGAAATAAGCCAGAAACAAAAAGACAAACATTACATGATTCTACCTAAATGAGGTACCTAGAGTGGTCAAATTCATAGAAACAAAAAGTAGAATGGTGGTTACCAGGGGCCAGAGGTAGGGAGAAATGGGGGAGTTACTGATGAATGGTACAGAGTGTTGGGTTGCACGAAAATGTGAATGTATCTAATGTCATCGAAGTGTACACTTAAGAGTGGTTAAAACGTAAAATTTGTATAATGCACACTTTACCACAATTAAACATTTAAAGAAGAAGAATACCAATCCTATTCAAACTGTTCTGAGAAACAGAGGAGGGAATACTTCCCAACTCATTTTACAAAGCCAGGAATATCCTGATACCAAAACCAGGCAAAGACACATAAAAAGAAAACGACAGGCCTATATCCCTGATGAACAATGATGTAAAGCTGTCAATGAAATACCAGCAAACAAAATTCAGCAATACATTAAAAAGGTCATTCTTCATGACCAAGTGGAATGTATTGCAGGTATGCAAGGATGGTTTAACATACACAAATCAATCAGTATAATACATCATATCAACAGAATAAAGGACAAAACCATACCATCATTTCAATTGATACTGAAAAAGCATTTGATAAATTCAACATCCCTTCATGATAAAACCTCTCAAAAAACAGTATAAAAGGAACAGACTTCAATATAATAAAAGCCATATATGACAAACTCACAGCTAGTAATGTACTGAATGGAGGAAAACTGAAAGCCTTTTCTCTAAGATCTGGAACAAGACAAGGATGACTACTTTTTACCACAGTATTCAAAACAGTACTACAAGTCCTGGCTAGAGCAGACAGGAGAAGGAAATAAAGGACATGGAAACTGGAAAAGAAAAAAGTCAAATTATCCTTGTTTGCAGGTCATGTGCTCTGATATTTGGGAAAACCTAAAGACTCCACCAAAAAACTAAAAGAACTGAAGAACAAATTCAGTAAAGTTGGAGATTCAAATTCAACATGCAAAATCAGTAGCATTTCTACATGCCAACAGCAATAATCTGAAAAAGAAATAAAAAACGAATCCCATTTACAATAACTGCAAATAAATAAAATACCTAAGAATAAACTTAACTGACGAAGTGAAAGGTCTTTCCAATAAAAATCATAAACACTGATGTAAAAAATTGAAGAGGACACAAAAAGTGAAAAAGATATTCCATGTTCATGGATTGGAAGAATGAATTTTGTTAAATATCTATAATACCCAAAGCAATCTATAGATTCAATGCAATCCCTATCAAACACCAATGACATTCTTCACAGAAACAGAAAACATAATCCTAAAATGTACATGGAACCATAAAAATCCCAGAATAGATAAAGCTCTCCTGAGCAAAAAGAACAAAACTAGAGGAATCACATTATCCAACTTCAATTTATACTCCAGAGTTACAGCAACCAAAACAGCATGGTAGTGGCATAAAAACAGACACATGGACCAATGAAACAGAACAGAGAACCCAGAAACGAATCCTGACATCTACAGTGAACTTATTTCCAACGAAGGTACCAAGAACACACACTAGGTAAAGGCAAGTGTCTTTAATAAATGGTGCTGGGGAAACTAGATAGATATCCATATGCAAGAATAAAATTATGTCCCTAGTTCTTACCATATACAAATATCAAATCAAATGGATTAAAGACCTAAACCTATGACCTCAAACTAGGAAACTGTAAAAGAAAACACTGGGGAAACTCTGTAGGATATTGGACCGGGCAAAGATTTTTTAAGTACTACCCCACAGGCACAAACAACCAAAGTAAAACTGCATAAATGGGATCATATCAAGTTAAAAGCTTCTGCACAGCAAAGGAAACAGGCCAGGCGCAGTGGCTCATGCCTGTAATCCTAGCACTTTGGGAGGCTGAGTCAGGTGGATTGCCTGAGCTCAGGAGTTCAAGACCAGCCTGGCAACACGGTCTCATTTTTACTAAAAATACAAAAATTAGCCAGGTGTGGTGGCATGTGCCTGTAGTTCCAGCTACTCAGGAGTCTGAGATGGAAGAATTGCTTGAACCCGAGAGGAGGAGGTTGCAGTGAGCTGAGACTGTGCCATTGCAGTCCAGCCTGGGCCACAGAGAAAGACCAACTCCCCACAAAAAAAAAAAAAAAAAAAAAGGAAGAAAAACCTCCTGCATAGCAAATAAAACAATAAACAAAGTGAAAAGACCATCCAAGAATGGGAGAAAATATTTTCAAACTATTCATTTGACAGAAGATTAGTAAGTGAAACATATAAGGAGGTCAGACAACTCTATAGGAAAAAAATCTAATAATCGGAGTTAAAAATGAGCAAAAAATCAGAATAGTCATTTCTCAAAAGACATGTAAATGGCAAGCAGGTATATGAAAAGGTGCTCAGCATCCTTGGTCATCAGATAAATGCATCAAAACTACCATGAGATGTCATCCCACCCCAGATATAATGGCTGTTATCCAGAAGACAGGCAATAAGGAATGCTGGCAAGGACGTGGCAAAAGAGAACCCCTGAACACTGTTGGTGGGAGTGTAAACTATACACCACTATGGGAAACAATGTGGAGATTCCCCAAAACTAACGTAATAGAACCGTCATATGCTGCAGCACCCCCACTGTTAGGCATATACCCAAAAGAAAGGAAACTGGTATATTAAAGAGCTATCTACTTTTCCACGTTTATTGAGGCACTATTCAAAATAGCCAAGATCCGCAAGCAACCTAAGTGTCCATCAACAGACAAATGGATAAAGAAAACGTGGCGCACATGTGTATTTGGAGTACTATTCAGCCGTCCTGTCATTTGCACAGACCCGGAGATCATTATGTTAAGTGAAATAAACCAGGTACAGACAGACAAACTTTAAGTGTTTTCACTTGTTTTTGGCAGCCAAAAACTAAAACAACTGAACTCATGGGGAGAGAGAATGGAATGATGACTACCAGAGGCTGAGAAGGGTGGTGGGGAGTGGGGAGTGAGATGGTTAATGGTTACAAAAATATAGTTAGAATGAATAAGATCTAGTTGATAGCACAGCAGGGTAAGTCAACAATAATTTACTGTACATGTAAAAATACTGAAAGAGCACAATGGGATTGTTGGCAGCACAAAGAAAGGATAATGCTTGTGATAGATACCCCATTTACCCTAATGTGATGATTACATATTGCATGCCTGCGTTAAAATATGCCATGTACTCCATAAATAAATATGTACTACATACTCAGACAAAAGTTAAAAATTTTAACAAAAGCAAGGGTTGGGGGTACTGGACATAGAGAGAAAACCAAGGTAGAGGGGGAGACTCCCAGACTGAGAAAGGGCCTGCCAAAAGTAGTGCTGGAGGGGGAACAGTCACCCCAGAGCAGGCAAAACAAAGATTTTAGGTGTGTGGTGTAGGGAGTGAGAGCCCACTGGGGTCAAGGAACCGAAAGAAAAGAATGAAGGTCAAGAACAGTTGGACCAACAGCCTGTTTTAGGTCTGGTTTGGGGAGGGGAGATGGGCAGAGCAAGAACTGGAGGGGAGCGTGAGCGTGAGTGTGGGGCAGGAGTGACTGTGGAGGAACTTGGATTGGGGTGAGGACAGGAGGGGAGGGTGCTCTGTGGGGGGTGGTGTTTGGGAAAGGTGAGAACTTGCTGAGGGCCCAAGGCAGGTGAGCAAGAGGTAGGAGCAACGCAAGGTCCCCAGGTGGAGAGGGGCAGAGGGACCAGGGAGGGATGGTCCAGCACCTGTGGGCTGGAGGGTGGGGTCCTCCAGAGTGTGAGGCTGAGGATAAAGGAGAGGAGAAAGGGCCACCATGAGGTGGGGCCCAGAGCAGGCACCTGCACTGGAAGGGAGGGGGCATCTGCACTGCCCTGTGTCCAGCCTAAGACCCAACTGTCATTAGCACCAGGGCTCCCCTTGGGTGGTCTGGAGGGGAATGGGATGGAGGGAAGGTCCCCCCGCCCTCACAAAAGGCAGCATGAGAAAGTGAGGGTCAGGGACAGGTGGGAATGGGAGGTATAGGGTCACCACTGGATGAAGGCTGCTTATAGGAAAGGCCTAAAAGGGAGACAGGAGGGACCTGCTGTGGTGGTAGCAGGAGCTGGGAGGGCAACAGGACCCAGAGGGCCCTGAGATGGGCAGGGGAGAACGGGGCAGGGAATCTGGTGCCCTTAGATCACTGGTCATTAGTAGGGGTGGGATGCCAGAGTGGAGAGGACCCCCTCACCCCGGCCCCCCAATCCCCCCAGGAGTAGGGGGCCAGGGGAGAATGAGCCAGGAATGAGAGAAGTCGCGGGAAGAATCCTCTGCCCGGAACCTGCAGCCTCCAACCCCCTTTCCCCTCAGCCACCCTCACAGTCCCCACAGCAGCAGAAAGCACCACCAGCTCCAGGTCCCGAGAAAGGAGGGCCCCAAATACAGGAGCTGCTGCCCGGGAGCTGAGAACCCGCTGGCTCCGGGGAGAGGACTGGGCTTCAGGGACCTGGGAGCCGCCCCCAGCACCGGGAGATGCGGCTGCCTCAGTGGCCGAGCTGGGAGGGCTCTCAAATTCCATTCACAGGAGCAGCCCGGGGTGGAGGGCGCAGCCCGGGACCCCAGGGGTCTCAGAAGGGCTGGTTCGTCCGAAGTGAGAGGAGGCAGAGGCGAGGCGAGGAGAGCAAGTGAAGGACAAGAAAATGCAGGGGTGGGTGATGCGCGGTCCCGAGGAGGACAGAAAAGAGACCGGAAAGCAGGGCTGAGGTGTGGCGGCCACGGGCCGCGTCCAGCTCCCCGCACCCCCGACCCCGCGTCTGAGCGCCGCCCGGACCGCACCGCGCTCACCGTGACCCACCGGGACCCCCGGAAACGTCTCGCCACTCCCGCTCCGCGGAGGGCCGCCAGGAACCCCACTCACCAGCGGCGGCTCCCTGGGCTGCAAAAGAGAAGACGCCGGCCAGAAACAGCAGGACCCAAACCAGCCCCATGGCCCGACGTCGCCACCGTCTCAGCTGCTGAAGCACATGTGACTGAGCGGAGCCGGGGAGAAGGCCGCGCTGATATTTAAGCGCAACAACCGCTCCTCCAATGAAAATGAAGGCGGCAACTTCGGCACCACTTAGTCCATACTTGGCGGAGAGGGCGGGGCCACGCTCGGAAATATCCAGAGGCTTGAGACTCGGGGAACTGTAGCCGGCGGTACCAGGGGCCCAGACGAATGGGAGCGCAGCCAAAAGCGGGGACCTGCTGTGAGTAGCTGAGGGTACAGCTCCAACCTGAGGAGCATGGCCAGGGCCCTGCCGCCCTCGCTGCATCGCCACCACCCGTCCCCGCACCCCCACCCTAAGGAGCGCGGGCCTCACCAAGCCCCTTTCGCCGGTCGCCCCATCCGGCCGGCTCTCATTGGCTTGTTCCTTCCAGGACAGACAACGCGCGGCTATTCTCCCGACACACTCCCTCAGCCGCGCACAACGTTACTGGCAATGAGAGCAGTGACCAGATTTGCAGACTTGTTTCCAGATCTCAGTCACCTCTGCCTCTCAGCAGCACCGCTCAGACGACAAACTCTTAGACGTTTCAGCTTTAGAATCTCCTTCTCTTCCCTTCGACTCGAAACCAGGTCCCCCTTCACCCCATAATATCTTCTAAGTGTCTGAGGTCTCGCAGGGCCGCCTCTCTATTCAGTCCCTGGCTAATCACAGGGCCAAGGACGCGGCTCCCCATGGTTCACTATAACACCAAGCTCTCTCCAGACTCCCTTTCCCAGCCTGCCTTAGGACATCTGTACCTCCGGGGCCACAGTCCCTCCAGTGTGACAGATCCACAAGAACTTTCTACATGTCTCCCACCACATCACTCCGTTTCTCTTTAGAGCATCACCATCCTTGGTCCCTTCTGATTTCCTCCTTCCCCTTCATCTCCAGGAGTCAAAGTCAGCTCCTCCAACCCTATTTCAATCCCACAGCCACTGCCTTGGTCTAGGCTTTTCCCTCCCTTCAGCCTAGGTTACTACACCGGCTTCCTAAACACGGTGCCTGCCCCAGTTGTAACCAGAGTGTTCCAAGCCACGCACAGCGCCACATCTGCTGAATGTCACACAGGATGCTTCTACTCTACCATGGAAACCACAGCTGCCAAAACCTGCTGTTTGGCGAAATGTCACACCCATTTCTCTGGTGACATCTCCTCAGGGTTGCAGTAAAAGTGAGCTCTGGGATCTCCTCACCCTATCCCACCAGGATGCCACTGCCTAAGCCATGTCCCTAATCCAGGTCACTGTCACCTCTGCCTGGAGCCCATCAGACCACACCATATCCTTAAAATCTTCCCACTTAGGCTGGTCTGAGTGTACTGGTGTTTACACCTAATTGATCACAACCAGTTATGGATGTCTTTGTTTCTTACTCACTCCCACTATTTCACTTGACTAGCCTAAAAAAAAGAAGAAAATCTTTTCATGTAGATAGCTGTGATGGTGGCACAACCTTGCGATTATGCTAAAAGCCACTGAGCTGTACACTTTAAAAGGATAAATTATGTGGCATATGAATTCTCAATTCTCAATAATAATAATCCTGTCCGGAAAGCCCCTTTCTACTGTGAGAATTGCCTTGTCCCCAGCAAACATCTCTTAGTCTTTGGGACATTTAGCCAATGGTCTTCAAACCTAGCCACTGCATAGAACCACCTGGAGAGTTTTAATATCCATGTTCCCAGGCCAGAGCCCAAACCAGTTAAATCAGCAAACCTAGGCTGGACCTAAACCTTCGTATCTTTTAAAGTTCCCTAGGTGTGATTCCAGTGTGTAGTCAAGTTTTAGAGCTCCTGATCTAGCTCATGGTTTCAACCTTCCTGATGGTACTGACTGTGCCCTGCCTTGAATCTTTTTTTGGCCTCACTCTGTCACCCAGGTGGAGTGCAGTGGCGTGATTATAGCTCACTGCAGCCTCCAATGCCTGGGCTCAAGCAGTCCTCCCACCACAGCCTTCTGAGTAGCTGGGACTACAGGCAAGCGCCACCACACCCAGCTGTCATCTGCCATCTTCTACCCTCCCCCATTAGACTATGAACCCTCCAGGATCAGGAACTGTGTCCATTTCCTCTTTGTCAGCCTCACAAACATCTTTTTAATTTGAACTATACCTGTCATTGCTAACTATTTCCCTGTGATCCCTAGCCTACACTTTTCTGTGGATGAAAATGTAATGTATTGGAGAATTTTAACAATTTCTTAGTTTTCCCATTAATATTCACTAATAATTTATTTTGATCCTCATAATTTATTGAGCACTGCAGGGACCAGTGTCCTTTCCCCACCTTAGAGAGATTATTTTCACTGCTAAATATCAAGATTATTTTCACTGCTAAGATCATAAGCTTAGTGAGAGGCAGAGAGGGAGAAGGACCCAGCTCTCATGACGAAGGTCCCAAGCCCTTCCCTCCATTGTCTACCCTCCCCTCAGGACTTCCTCTGTGTGCCAGCTCCAGCAAAGGTTCTCATTCAGCTCACCCCCCGCAAAAGACTTTTCACACTTCAATAATAATAATAAATAGGCAAGGTTCGTTCCAAGGCTTTTAGAAGTGGTTGCGCAAAGACATGAAGCCAGTCCTCTCCCAGGCTAGGGGAGCCGGAGATGTTCTTGAGTTCCAAGTGAGTTGCTTCTCAGCGCCCAGGTTTGGGTGCCCCACCCCCACCAAACCTCCCAAGTCTGCTATCCGAAGCCCTCCCTCCCTTTCCACTGCCCCCTCCAGCTTCCTCTGCTCTGCCCCATCAACTATGTTTTCTCCCTCAGCGCTGACCTTAGATCCCGGGACTCAGGAACACAAAAGTGACTTCCTTTTCGCAGACTTTAGTAGTCACTGCTGGGTCCGGAAAAGAAAGAAAAAGGACTCAGCCCTGTCGCTTACATAATGCAGGGCGGGGCTGCGCTTAGCTCCGCAAGCTTTTTTTTTGGGACAGAGTTTCGCTCTTGTTGCAATGGCGCTATCTCGGCTCACCGCGACCTTTGCCTCCCCGGTTCAAGCCATTCTCCTGCCCCAGCCTACCGAATAGGTGGGATTACAGGCAGTTGCCACCATGCCCGGCTAATTTTGTATTTTTAGTAGAGACAGGGTTTCTCCATGTTGGTCAGGCTGATCTCGAACTCCCTACCTCAGGTGATCCGCCAGCCTCGACCTCCCAAACGTACTGGCATTACAGGCGTGGGCCACCGCGCCCGGCTTTGCCCGCAAGCTTTTTGAATTCTACTGCCCGCAGTTCACTGCGAAGACTGGGATCACCCGTCACCCCGCCCTGGGCTATGGAAAATGAAGCGTGTTTACCGATATAGAAACGGAATAACGGCGCTGTGGGCTGGGGAGGGCCGAGCTGCCTTTAGGGTTCTGATTTCCAGCTTTGGGGCGCTCACACCCGCCGCTGTGGAGCAGGAATTCCGAGTCCTGGCTGGAGCGCGATCTGGAATCTGACTCGCTTGAATTCTGACTCGGTGGATTCGGATCCGGGTGAGTAGGGAAATGCACCTCAGCCCCTCCCACGGGCGCCCACGGATTCTTGGATCCGAAAACGCTTCCTGCTGCTCAGTCACCCCAGGAAGGCAGCGCCCGCCTCTGGGCTGTTCTGATGGAAAGAGGCTCCGCCGCCCGCAGGAAAACCCACAACTAAGGGGCCAGGAAAAAGCCCCTCACTCGCCACTTCAGGGAGGATCCTAATTTACACCCTCCATCAAAGACTGCAGTGACCTTCACTGAAATGATACAAGACCCGGGGGCCCAGGGCGCTCGGCTCACATTATGCGGAGACAGCGCCGCCTCGCGTCCCTTCCCTGACCTGCCCCAGGCGGCCGCGATGACGTTTGTTGGCCTCGAGGCTGGAATACACGGGAGATCAAGAGCAGGGAGTCCAGAAAGGAGGGAAGGATGCGGGGTGGGGGTGGGGGGGGCGTGTTGAAGAAAGGAGGTAAGACAGGAAGGAAAGGGGAGAGAAAAAGTAAAGGAGCTTTCTCTCTCTGAATTTGTAAATATAGGGCTATTACTGTTATTTCAGAGCCTGTGAGGGTGAGTGGCAGACAGCATGACCCTCTTCCTCCAGATGTGCCAGGGTGTGTCTCTGGGGCCCAAGAACAGGGTTTTTGTTTTATTTTACATAAGCAAAGTACACATCTCAAAGAGGATAATATTTTCATTTATATTTTTTTGAGACGGAGTCTTGCTCTGGCATCCAGGCTGGAGTGCAGTGGCATCGTCTTGGTCCTCTGCAACCTCTGACTCCTAGGTACAAGCAGTTCTCCTGCCTCAGCCTCCTGAGTAGCTGGGATTACAGGTGGCTGCCAGCACACTCAGCTAAGTTTTGTATTTTTAGTAGAGACGGGGTTTCACCATGTTGGCCAGGCTGGTCTCGAACTTCTGACCTTGTGATCCTCCTGCCTCGCCCTCCAAAGTGATGGGATTACAGGCATGAGCCACTGCGCCTGGCCAAAGGATAATATTTTAAATCATCTTTGGGACATACTTTGCATGCAATAAACTGCATCTATTTAAAATGTTCAACTTGTTGAGTTTTAACTGTTGTACACACCCACATCTCCACTACCACAGTGAAGATAAAGAGCATTTTTTTTTTTTGAGATGGGGTCTTGGTTTGTCGCCAGGTTGCAGTGCAGTGGCGCCATCTGGCTCACTGCATTCTCTGCCTCCCTGGTTGAAGTGATTCCCCTGCCTCAGCGTCCCAAGCAGCTGGGATTACAAGCTCCCAATAATTTTTTTTTTTTTTGTATTTTAGTAGAGATGGGGTTTCACCATGTTTACCTCGTGATCAGCCCACCTTGGCCTCCCAAATGTTGGGATTACAGGCATGAGCCACAGCGCCCAGCAGGTAAAGCACATTTCAGTCTTCTCCCAAAGAACAGCTACAGGATAAAATTCTATGTAGTCATTAAAAAGAGTAAGATTCATTTTAAGTATTGCTATGAAAAGATGTACACAATATACTTTTAACCTTTTCTAAAAGGTTAAGGAGGCTGGGTGACATGGCTCAGGCCAGGAATCCCAGCACTTTGGAAGGTCAAGGTGGGCAGATCACCTGAGGTCAGGAATTCAAGATCAGCCTGGCCAACATGGCGAAACCCTGTCTCTACTGAAAATACAAAATTAGTTGGGTGTGGTGGCGGGCACCTGTAGTTCCAGCTACTCACGACGCTGAGGCAGGAGAATCTCTTGAAACCCAGAGGTGGAGGTTGCAGTGAGCTTAGATGGTTCCACTGCACTCCAGCCTGGGTGAAAATGCCACATTAATCACATATAATATTATATATAATCACCTATATAATGTTAATGTATATTTTAAGTAGGGAATACCTGGAAGATTCCTCACCAACGTTTTCACAGTGACTCCAGAGACTGGGATAACTTTGTGACGTTCACTTTCTCTGAAATGTTGGCATTTTATCTTTTAGTATAAACTTAGATTTGGGTGGGTTGCAGTGGTTCATGCCTATAATCCCAGCTCTTTGGGATCGGAGGGAGGAGGATTGCTTGAGCCCAGGAGTTCCAGGCTGCAGTGAACTATGATTGTGCCATTGCACTTCAGCCTGGGTGACAGGAGGAGACCCTGTCCCCAAAACAGAAAAATAAATAAAGTTTAAAATAATAAAAACTATAAATTGCGATTTATGTGAACGTTAAGGAAGAGAATATTCCAGTTTGAGAATATGAAGCTAAGCCCCCACACTGAAATAGTTAGAGGTTTTTTTGTTTGTTTGTTTTTTGTGGAGTCTTGCACTGTTGCCCAGGCTGTAGTGCAGTGGCAGGATCTTGTCTCACTGCAATCTCTGCCTCCTGAGTTCAAGCAATTCTGCCTCAGCCTCCTTCAGCCTCCGGAGTAGCTGGGACTGCATGCCTGCGCCATCATGCCCAGCTAATTTGTTTGTATTTTTAGTAGAGACGGGGTTTCACCATGTTAGCCAGGATGGTCTTGATCTCCTGACCTAGTGATCTGCCCACCTCAGCCTCCCAAAGTGCTGAGATTACAGGCATGAGCCACCACACCCGGCCAGTTACAGAGTTTTAAAAACCAAACTGTTCAAGCCGCGGTGGCTCAGGTCAAGCGTCCTGGCGCTTGAAGAGGTGAGGCGAATGCATTCGAGTCCAGCCCTGGGTAGCATAGAGAGCGCTCTTCCATTGAAAAAAAAATTAAACACACAGACACACACACAGACACACACAGACACACACACACACACACACACACACACACACACACACACACTGTTCATTAAAACCCAGCATCAGAAACTCTGTTTCAAGAGGATCCTTCATCTTTTCCTGGCATTGAATCTTAAAGTGCCTTTGAAAGAGATATTTTTGGCCGGGCGCGGTGGCTCAAGCCTGTAATCCCAGCACTTTGGGAAGCCGAGGCGGGTGGATCACGAGGTCAGGAGATCGAGACCATCCTGGTCAACATGGTGAAACCCCGTCTCTACTAAAAATACAAAAAAAAAAAAAAAAAAAAAAATTAGCTGGGCGTTGTGGCGCGCGCCTGTAATCCCAGCTACTCGGGAGGCCGAGGCAGGAGAATTGCCTGAACCCAGGAGGCGGAGGTAGCGGTAAGCCGAGATCGCGCCATTGCACTCCAGCCTGGGTAACGAGAGCGAAACTCCGTCTCAAAAAAAAAAAAAAAAAAAAAAAAAAAAAAGAGATATTTTTAGTGGAATGGAGATATGTATCACAATATTTACAAAAGAGATTGGTTGTAACAAAGGAAAACGCAAATCGGGTGGGGACAACAGGGGACCCTGTTCCATTTATTCTCAAAGCACGCCTGAAACCTGCGTTGCCATAGCGTCCTTGACTGGAGACAAAGTCGAGGCAGATCTTGTTCCTGGAGTATTGACTTGAGTTTGCAAACGGTCAAAAGCTTTTGGAAATCAGGCTTTCAGATTGAAAGTCTCAAGAATGTTCTTTCTGGCAGTGAGCCCGTAAGAATCCAGGCCATCTGGATGATCATGTCTCTGCTTCCACCTAGTGGCAGTGGCTGGAAGGACAGGGCACAGTGATATCGCACCAGTGGGTCTGAAGCCAAGGTGAACCCGCCTTTGCAAAATCCTCATTAAGGAAATGATGACAGTGAAAGATATCAAACCTAACTGACCCCATCTTGCTTCTAAACTCTGAGCTGCCCTTGTTCATTTTGGGAGTAGGCCGAACTAGCCTTGGGAAGAAATTTATAGTTTAAAGAGAAACTTTTTTTTTTTTTTTTTTTTGAGACGGAGTTTCATTCTTGTTGCCCAGGCTGAAGTGCAATGGTGCGATCTCAGCTCTTGGAAACCTCCGCATCCCGGGTTCAAGTGATTCTCCTGCCTCACCCTCCCAGCAGCGGGAATTACAGGCATGTGCCACCAAGCCTGGCTAATTTTGTATTTGTTTTTTTTTTTTTTTTTTTTAATGAAAGAAAGAAAGAGAAAGAGAAAAGGGGGAGAGAGAACAGGAGTCTTGCTCTATTGCCCAGGCTGGAATGCAATCTAAAAGTAGGTATTAAAAACCTCTTTTATGCTGATAATTGTGCTTAACAGCGGAGACAGGAAGGAATAAGGAAAGAAAATAAACAAACAGCCACCAATATTTCGTTTAAATCTGTGAAACGCTGTGCAGGTGCTGAAGAGTGATTTGCTTCCATTTATGTGGTCACTTTAGGTGTAATGTGATACTAAAAAAATATATGTTCTGTGGACCTGGGATGAAGAATTCTATAAATATTCACTGAGTTTACTTGTTCCAGGTCTGAGTTCTAA